GGTGAGGAAGATTAGCCCTGGGCTAACATCTGTTGCCAGTCCTCCTCCTTTTGCTTGAGGAAGATTGTCCCTGAGCTAACATCCGTGCCAATCTTCCTCTATTTTGTGTGTGGGACGCTGCCACAGCATGGCTTGATAAGCGGTGTGCAGGTCTGTGCCTGGGATCTGAATCCACGAACCCCGGGCCGCTGAAGCCGAGTGTGCAAACTTAACCACTATGCCACCGGGCCAGCCCCTCAAGATTTAAAAAATAGGAATTAGAGAACAGTAAGGAGAAAATAATGTTTCTGGAAATCTGGTTGGTATACAGAAGAAAAATATTTATTTTATAGTGACTTCCAATGATAAAAAGTAATTTAACGTTTAAAAAAATTGAATTGTACGCTTACTGCAGTGTGTTAGGGAGTTCTATTGGATGTGGTGATATGGATTGTTTGATTATATAAACATTTAAGAAAACTGTAGAATTTTAAAAATTAATGGAATGGTAAAAGCTTTTTGCTATGAATCTGATAGGTAAAAGCTTAAAATCCTAACTCTCCAGAAAATTATTATGGATCTTTAAAGTCAATAATCAATCTCTACTGGATAAGTGTTAATAATAGCATGATATATTTCCTGCTAATTTGACATCCTGTTCTCCAGACCCCTATGTTATTTCAGCATGTCACAATTTTTCACATCTCCTTTTTTGTGTTTGCATATCTTCTATCTGCCTGATTAATCTCTGAAGATTCCGTTAAAACTGATTTTTCTTTCTTTTTTTTTTTTTTGTGGAAGACTGGCCCTGGGCTAACATCTGTACCCATCTTCCTCTACTTTTTTTTTTTTATATGGGACCCCGCCACAGCATGGCCTGACAAGTGGTGCATCCGTGTGTGCCCGGATCCGAACCCAGGCCTCCAGCAGCAGAGCGCGTGCACTTAACCACTATGCCATGGGGCTGGCCCAAAGCTGATTTTTCTATGCAACCGTTCCTGCTCCTTACCAGCATCTTTTACTGCAATCATCACATCATATAAAACACAGGTTGTTCATTTTGTGAAAGTGAATCAAATTATACTTATGATTTGTACACTTTTAAATTATACTTCAGGGGCCGGCCCCGTGGCTTAGCGGTTAAGTGCGCGCGCTCTGCTACTGGCGGCCCGGGTTCGGATCCCAGGCGTGCACCGACGCACCGCTTCTCCCGCCATGCTGAGGCCACGTCCCACATACAGCAACTAGAAGGATGTGCAACTATGACATACAACTATCTACTGGGGCTTTGGGGAAAAAATAAATAAATAAATAAAATTAAAAAAAAAAATTTAAATTATACTTCAGTTTATAAAAAATTTACTTTAACAGCAAAACAACAATAACAAACTATAGTGAACTCCTAAATCTTTGCTTGGAAAAATGTTCCCAAGATTTTATCTTTCTACACCATCTTTAAACTTCTCCAGATGTTCAAGTGCTGTAGCTTTTCATCATGGCTCTTAATTAATTAATTAATTAATTTTTTTTGGCCATTTCTCTTTTTATTCCTATGGTATTCATCTCCATAATGCAGACAATATCGTGTATTTCTTTTTTTCTTTTGTAAGGAAGACTGGCCCTGGGCTAACATCCATGCCCATCTTGCTCCACTTTATATGGGACGCCGCCACAGCATGGCTTGCCAAGCGGTGCGTTGGTGCACGCCCAGGATCCGAACCGGTGAACCCCGGGCCGCCGCAGCGGAGCACACGCAATTAACCACTTGCGCCACCGGGCCGGCCGTTTTTTTTTACTATTTAATTATTATTTTTTTTGTGAGGGAGATCAGCCCTGAGCTAACATCCAGTGCTGAAAAGGGAGCAAATCTATCTGTCATTATTTATCATTGGGAGTTAACAGATACTATGTAGAACATGGAAATACAGGTTTGAGTATTAAATAAAGTTATAAAGATAATCAGTAATTGTTGCCATTATTAGTAGGTATAACACTTAAGTTTGCAAAGTGCTAGGTGCTTCATATGTAGTAACTCATTTAATACTCATACCAATCCTAGGAAGTAAGTACTGTCATTATCCCCATTTTACAGGTGAATTACAGAAAGGATAAGTGACTTGCTCGAAGTCACATAGGAAAGGATTCAACCCAGGAAGTTTGCCTCTAGAGTGTATGCTCTTGGCCATTATGATACATCACACCTTAAATATCTCTCTTTTAAATTTACATACACTCAAATGAAAAACAATTAAATGTAAACAATTTAAAAAACCTAGAGAATCAATAAAACCAAAAAAAATAACAGAACTAAAACCAAAAGATTATCATAATAATAAATATAGATGGGCTAAACTCACCCATAAATACAAAATAAATGAAGCAGGCCTATATATCCTGAAATTGAAAGAACTTTGCAGATATTTATAAATAAGCAAGGTGAAGAACAACACTGGAAAAATACAAATAATGTAGTTGTCTCTTCTGTGTTTAAAAACACACATCAAAAACCCCTAAAATTTGTGTACATGTATAAATGGATAGAAGAAAGGCTTACAGGTATACAGCATTAACAATGGTTACCTTTTGGGAGGAGAGGAAGCTTAGCAGAAGTGAAGAAGAGAGACATCTCAGCTTTACTCTGTATAGTTTTCTTTTTGAAGTCTGCCAAAAATGTGTTACATAACTCATGTAAATATTTTTAGTGTATGTAGGTAAATAAATACTATCAATAAGACAAAGGTCAAGAATAACAAAATCCAAACTGTTAGCACTAAATATCTCTGAAAAATGGAATTAGAGGTAATGGGAAGGAGATTATTTTTCCCTATTTTACTATACATAATTGTTTGAATTTAAGAATGTTGCAGGGAGCATTTTTGAATTAGAAAATAAGAAGAAAGTATTTAATCCTTGTCTCTTGCCTTTCCTCTTATATAAATTATCTGTTCCTGTGCTTTACCCAATGACTAGATAATTTTTAACAAATTTCATTGGAACATAGTACATGAGAAGACTTGACGAGGTATATGATTTTAATGAGATTTGCAATTTAAAGACTTTGCTGCTCCTTCTTGTCATGTAGGTCTTGGCTTAAATGTTACCTCTTGGGTTAAGTGAAGCTTTTTTTTTTTTTTTTTTACTATCAAAGGAGCCCTCTGGTCTTTATCACATTGTCTTGTTATATTATCATCATAGTGTTGTCATCATCTATTCTTGCTTACTTTGTTTTGTTTTTTTTAAATAATTTGTTTTCCTCCACTAAAATATAAGATCCATGAGAACAAAAATATGCCTTGATCATCTTGTAGCATAGGACCTAAAATAATGCTTAGCATATGGTAAACACTTAATAAATATTTGTTGCATGAATGAAAAAGTAATACTCATGCTTAAAAGTTCAGAAACTTAAATTTTTATTAGGCCATCCAAGAATGGTTTAGCTATGGTGAATTGATTGATGATAACTCTTAGGAGTCTAGTAATCAGAATACCAGTTTATTTATAGTGGTAGATATGAATGGTATAATAAACAAAGCTGGATATGCATTATGGTTTTTTTCTAGCATTTCTGTGCCAAAACCAAATTTTTATCAAGGGCAAAAATTGAATAACACATGGAAATTGGGAAAAAGAGAGATGGGCAGTATTAAAAAACACTAAAACCATATACTATGGCTATAGATTGTATTGCCTAACAAATACAATATCTAATAAATGTTTGTTCTTGGTCTTGAGAATTGTGAGAGGCAGTATAAATGATTTGGTTTTGCTGGTCCAGTCATAAAAACAATAAAGTGCCAGCCCAGTTCATGGTAAGTTATATTGTACACCTATACAAATAAAGAAGAGCATTAAGTTAAACTTGTCGTTTGTTACAAACCAAAGAGGAAAAATATAAGACATAAGTAGTGGTTCCAAAAATCCATTCAAAGTAATAGATAATTACTTATTAAAGCTCATTGATGGAAATGCAAATTTCCATTTTCCATTTTTCTAAGTAGAATAAACTCTGAACCTGAATCAGGTTTTGCCCATAAGTCAAAACTACACCATTCAATTTGAAAAGACAGAGGTAGATACTAAAAAAACTTTAGAAATATTTGGGAAAGATAGATAAGTGGTACAAAGTAGTAGCATTGATTAATTATTACTTTTCATGCATGGTAGTGTAGTAGACAGGCAGTGTAGTATAGTAGTTACATCTTGAGCTGTGTGCCTGGGATTCAGTCTTAGCTCTGCCTCCCACTAGCTCTGTGACCCTAGGTAAATCACCTATCCTCACTCTGCCTCAGTTTTCTCATCTTGGGGTAATAGATCCTTCTTTATAAAGTTTTTGGGAAGTTTAAACAAGAACGTGTGTGTGTGCGTGTTTGTAGTTTTCAGCATGGTGCCTGGCAGATGATACAGCACTACATAAGTATTAGCCACTACTGTTGTTATCCAGCATATGCTGAGTGTGTACTGTCGGTCACTGTGCTGAGGATGGGGATGGGAGATCCTGCCCTGGAGGAGTTCACAGTCTAGTGAAGCTCGAGGCTGTACTTCATCTTCTCTACTTTCATCCCAGTTCTTTTTTTCTATATCTTGTATCTTATTTCCAAGAGAATAAATTCAAAGTTCATAGTTTAATCTCAGTCTTTAATTTTTCCCCCAGTTTTATTGTGATGTAGTTGATATATGAAATTGTATTAGTTTAAAGTATACAACATAATGATTTGATATACGTATATATTGTGAAATGATTACCTCAGTAAGTTTAGTTAACATCCATCACCTCATAGTTACAAATTTTGTTTTTCTTGTGATGAGTACTTTGAAGATCTATAAGATAAGTAAGTTCTGAGGATGTAATGTACAGCATGGTAATTATAGTTAACAATACTGTATTGTATATTTGAAAGCTGCTGAGTAGATCAATCTTTAATTTTTACCTGATATTTAAAGAGATGGTTAGAAAATTGACTTGCTGCCTAAAATAAAATATTTTAAAGTCATTTTAAATTTTGTTTCATAGATGTTTGCTACTAATGGGTGTGAGCAAGTTAGATATTCTGTACCGGAGACTTCTCCTCACAAAACTTTTTATCAGAGGATGGGGAAGGCCAGAGGATCTCAAAAGGTAAGCATTTTGTCTGAATGCTTGTTCTGAATTTGTTGTTTTAGTAAACATTTAAAATTTTATCTCAGGGCCAGCCCCGTGGCTTAGCGGTTAAGGGCGCGTGCTCCGCTACTGGCGGCCCGGGTTGGGATCCCGGGCGTGCACCG